GTGGCTATGAAATCTGTTTCCATTCTTTTTCTATTAAAGCAGAATAGTACTTCAGTTATTATGTTTTATATTAGTTCTTGTTGCAAGCGTATACTGGTTGTGTTTAGGTAGAAAAACCATGTGTCTCCTGGTATATATATCCTACAACAAAATAGGCAGACTCACAATATGAGTCTGGGTAATGAAATTGAAAAGTTTGTTTTGTTGTTAGTTACTAACTTCTCTCTCTCTCTCTCTCTCTCTCTCTATATATATATATATATATATATATATATATATATATATATAAATATATATATATTAAAAAATAAGGGTATACATAGACAATAGAATATTGTTGCATGTTACAAAATGATGAATATAAAAAAAAATTTAAAGAATATGTGTATGAAGTTGTGTAGGAGTCTCAGAGAATAGTAATGGGAGGTGTTGGTGTGTGTGTGTGTGTGTGCATTTGCCTGTGGGGAAAGTGTTTTCCTCATTCAACCTACATCTTACCATCTAAGTGGCTAAAGGAAAAGAAGAAAATGACAGAGAGTGTTAATGCCTATTTATAGGTTTAGGGAGCATCTCCTAGCAGTTGTTTTTTTTTTTTTTTCTGTCCCTTGTTGGCTAAAAACAAAAAAGAATTGAACAGTGTATAGTGGCAATGTGTGTTTAAACATGTCGATGAAAATGTACTTGTGTAAAGTGCTGTGTCATCAGAGTAATGTAAAATGTAGCATGATCTGGAAGATATATCAATAGTATAGAAAGAAAGATATCAGCAGTTGGTACTAAAATTTTGTTATTTTCCAAATGCTCAACATTGAATTGATTTTGTCTGGGGAGGCCTGGGTTTGTTTGCTATGCATGTAAGATGTTGGCATACAAAAAGTTTTAAGCATCAATTTGTAAAGTTGTTGAGCTGATGTTTCTAAAATTGCTACTGCAATTTAATACATTTTTGCAAGAAGATATCTAATATTATTGTTGATTTTTCATGGAGATGCAGCTATCTCCATGTATTATTGTACTTACAGATTTTTAGTTTTGTTTGGGTTAACATCTTTGAAGATTATCTGTTGAGCCTAGAAGAAACAGGGCTATTTAAAGTTGAAAATGGAGTTGACTTTCATGGTGTTTGAGTGGTATCTTTGGAAAAAATAAGTTGGGTTTTGCTTGGTTCAAATTTGTAAGATAAAAGTTGTATTTTTCGTTTTGGTGAAAAATCTTTTGTAATGTCTGCCGGTTGAAGAAGACGTCAGGCATAATGGCCTGGGAGAGAAAAAGAGTCGAGCAAAAAACAGTAGAGATGAGATGTGTATTGTTTGCCTGCTGACCATGCCAACATAGTAGTAATTGCAATGGCAATTAGGGATTTTTTTGGCAGGGGGCCACACGTGTCGCAAAGAAAATGTTTTTTAACTCGAGGAAATTCTTGTCCAAATAGTTATATCGTGTAGATGTGTTTCAGAGATTTTAAATTTGCAATTTTGCTCTTTACATGCGGTCTAATCACAAATTTTGTAACTGGAAGTTTTTGTGTCTGCCATACATGGGTTGGTAGGAGTTAGTCAAAGTTTTTCTTTGCTGGCTCTGGGTTTGAAAAAAAAGGGTCTAAATGATACCTAGTTGAGTTTGCTTATATAGCTTTGTGTGTTCATATATCCAGGAAATATTGAGGTTACCAGTCTGTTGCTGGAGTATGCTGGTTGTGTTTAGGCAGGAAAACATATGTCTTCTGATATATTTATCCTATAACAAAAATGGTAGACTTGAAATGTTAATTTGGGTAATAAAATTAGTAGAAATTGTTGACATCAAGCTAGATAATTTTTTTTTTGCTTCTAAACCAGTCAATTTTTTTGTATTTCACATATGTATTTCCGATATTATTTTTTATAGGGTTGAGCAATCTATACTGGGGGTTGTCCTTGAAGTTGGGTTTCTGGTCTTAGCTGATAAAAAATTTTTGCTGCATATTTAATTTGTTAACTCTATCATCAATCTTCAAATCTGCAGCTATTTTCCTTCCTGAAATACAGAACATCTTGTAGGTCACCCCAAAGTGGTCAATGGATCATTTATTTTTATTATCATTGTTGCAATCTCCTCACACACCCAAGATAGGTTTGCTTCATTTTTTTTTTTTCAAAGCTATCACCATATTCCATCTGATAAACTCAACCTTTGAAAGCATTTCTTTTATGACTATTTCAGCCTTTTAGATACTTCGAATAATCCCAATAAACACATTTGATAAGCACTACTTATATATATATCAGGCTTACAAAGTCTCTCAGTTCTCCTTTATCTGTGTGGTCATAACTTCTGTTACATTCCCAAATTCTCACTCCAAATCTTGAACATTGCTAATCAGCCAGTTAATATTTTGTCTGTTTTAGCCAAATCCATTGTTGTTACATTTAAAATTAATACACTTGCTCTTTTTATCTGAGTAACCATTTCTCTCCTGGCTTATGGTCATATCCTGTTGAAACAGTGGTTCCTATACGATCACCAAAGTTGAGCAACATCAAACGTGATCAGTAGCTAGATGGGTAATCACTTAATCACTATCCATTAGATCACCCACTCATCCAGGCTAATGGTGGTTGAATGGATAATGGCTTGGAATTGTTAATCAGAGAGCCAAGTTCCATTTGGCTTTGTTATATTTACTTATGCACAAATACACTTAGGAAAAGTATGAATGCACTTCTTCTCTCATTAGCTATGGGTTAATTAGTAAGACTTGTATCACTAAATCATTATTATCTCAAAAAGAAAATTCTTCCAATCTAAAAATATTTTCTAGCTTTAAATATGCTGCAAAGGGTTGATAAGCCATAAAAAGTAGATCAATTATTTCTTTCCCTATCAAGAGTAACCAATTTTCTCCTACTTTAGGGGATCTTAAAACTTTATGACCCTTCCCACTTATGGGTATTACTACTCTTTTTCCTCTTTTCCCTAACAACCTTTGTTCACACAGAAATGTTTTCTACCAGATCCTGCTGCTTTGTGGATCCTAGTTTATCTTGTCTGAGCTTAGATAACAAATTAAAATACTCCATTCCTATATAATTTTTCTCCAGCATTTTTGCTATTAATATTTCCTTTTCTAAACTCCTCAATAGGGTCTTAAATGACTTTAAGACAGTCATAAACATTATTAAGCACTGAGACTGTTTTTCTTGAAAATGGTATTCTACACAAATCATTACTAATTTATTTTAATTTTCTCACTGTTATTCAAAATTTCACTAAATTATTTGAAAATTAGCCTTTTTATCACTCATATATTTTCTATCATGGGCCCTACACTGTTCCTGATCTTCATCAATGATCTTCGCAATGTCATCAGTTCCCAAGTTGGCATCTATGTGGACTACACTATTTACTCCTGCCTCAATAGTAAATCTGGTATCATTGACAAAACTAACCTGGCTTCTGATCTTGAAAAGGACCTCCAATCTGTGGTTGACTGGGGCAGGAAATGGTCTGTAAACTTTAATGTCTCCAAAACAAAATTCTCTCCTTTACCCACCACAGAGAACCCTCCCTGCCTACCATCAGAATGGCTGATTCCCAACTCCTCGAAAGCGCCTCGTTATACCTGCTTGGTCTCACACTGTCCATTGACATGAGGTGGAATAAATACATTGAATCAATAGCTTCATCTACCACAAGTAGGTTCTCTGTGTCATGCCAGAAAGTTTTTCTCATCTGAGTCCATCTTTCAAATCTATAAATTAACCACCCATCCTTGCATGGAATATTGCTGTCATATATGGTCTGGTGTTCCCGCTGTACATCTCCAGGTCCTGGACAAAATCTAGAGATGAATATGCAAGATGATAGGTCCTGATATGGCATCTAGTCTACAATCGCTATCCCACAGACATGCTGTGGCCTCCCTCTGTCTCTTCTACAAGTATTTTCATGGCAACTGTTCTGACGAGCTACTTTCGCTGGTTCCCGGACTACATGAATTTAAGCAAGCTACAAATCTGGCATCTTAGGCCCACCTTTTTACTGTCAAAACTGTTATATGTAACCCTCTCTTCTACGCAAACAGCTTCTTCTCCCACAATTCCCATCTGTGGAACTCCCTTCTCCTTACTTGCTGCCCTGATGATTATAGTCTTCAAATATTCAAGTGTAATGTCAATCAACATCTGACACCCTGAGTTTGTTCCCAGTCCTTCTCTGTATCTTTTCCCCAAACATGCCTCTTTACTCTTGTTCTCAATCCTCTGTAACCCCTTGTGTGATAGTGGCACTCTCACCTTGCTTGGGGTGAATTGGTTTAAAAAAAAATTTTCAGAGTAATTCTACAGCTTAGACAGTGGGTAGTCAGACCCACTCACCTTCAGTGACCTATGTTCCTTATTGAGAGCCTTTTTTTTTGTACCTCTTACAGTTTATTTGAGCCTTTACTTTGAGGCTATTTCTTTCTATCCATATCCTTCCTCTGTTCATTCTCACCCTCAGTTCCATTAGTAAGCAACCAGTTCTATGGATTCTGACTGGGAGGAGTTAATTATTTTTTCTGTTTAATTTTTCTTCTCTCTTGCTTGATACACTCTTGATCTACCCATTTTTATATCTTCAATCACTATCAGTTTATCTTTCCTTTCATAGTTTAACCCTCTTAATTTTCATGTTATTCCTGGTTTTCCCACTTTATTTCCTCTTTTTTGCAGGATATATGTTACAATGACAAAACAAGGGTGTCTGAGCATGCAGAGTGTTTGATACCCACTCACATGCATGATACCAGGCTTGATCATGCATACCAGCCTGACTGACACACAAGTATCAACGCTCTACCAGGTCTTTGATGCAAAATAATCTGAGTGCTGGATGTCGGAAATTATCTCCCTGCTACTGCTTCTATGCATTAATTCTACAGTGGGGATCATCTAACCTAATCACCCTCTCTGTTTCTTATCACCAGGGGTAATTTCTCTTCTTTTTTTGGATGACTGTCTTTGCTATCTTTCTCTAGTAAGGTTCCCTCTTTTCCTCCTACTCTTTTCACTTTTCTCCCCACTCATTAACAACTGCACTTTCTGTTAGTTTCAGTATACCTTTCTTTCTATCTATGGCCTTTTTTTTTATTCCTTTTATGTTTTCTTCCTCTTGCATTTCATAAAGTAATTTTCATTTAAATGGTCACAACAATTCAACACCCCACTCAACCATACTTCTATATTCAGCCTACTAAACTCTCACAGTCTCTTTTCTATTTTGAATGTTTCTATTTTGAATTTCTCTTTTCTCACTTTTTACAGTACAGTCACATCTCATGTAGACTTTCCTACCAAAATTCCAACATACAGGAGTTGACTACATTCCTCCTGTAGTACACATGCTTCCCACAAGCCCCATATCTAAAGGTTTAATTTTTCTTACACTGTGTCACATATTTTACAGCACTCTCTCTCTCTCTCTCTCTGAGCTTTCAACATGTTCATTTGAACCACCAACCTTCTCACATGTTCCTGGTTGACCCAAACTAAGCTAAAACTTTCTTAGCTGTTCTGAAGGTACTTGGCCCTAGTCTATAGAATAACCTTACCCTGTCTCAGAACAGATAGAGGCATTGTTTCCCTTTTTGTCTTATCTTGTTAAAGTTTCCCCATCTCATATAACCTCATTCGTATCATTGTAAAGGTAAACTTCTCTATGCACTTCTAACACCCATCCACCAAGAAGCAACACATTCTACCTATTGCTTCTTTTCCCCAGTCTTCCACTTGTTCAGGGCAGTCTACCTTCTCATGCCCACTTTTTCTACAATTGCTACAGACCCTTAATCTCTCAGTTTGTCTTTCTTCATGTTACCCTCATTTTCTAGATTTCCCAGTGTTCCAACAACAACCTCTCATTTCTTCTCACTGTCATAAACCTCTTCAAGGTAACTGATTCTACTCAAGAGATATCTTTGTGTATCAGTTCGTTTTTCAATGCATCCATAAAATACTCAGACAATTAGGTCTGCTTTGAACCCTTATCCCGATACACCCTTTGGTCAGCCTAGCTAACTCCAACAATATTTTATCTTTTTCTGATTTATTCTCACTAGGGCCATGCTACTCAAAGTCATGGTCCATGGACTGACTGGTACACGGCTAGTGCCTAGGCCATGCTAATGAATCATTAAGGTTACATAATTTTTGTTTTTGTGTTAATAAACTGCTTATTTTTTTTTATTACTTTTTATATGTTATAATATTGAATTATTTTTTGCAAAATAAATGGAAGATAAAAAATAGTCAACTTTTATTATATTCATTATATATATAAATTAAATTATTTATATATATAAATTAATATTACCATGAAATATTACAGGTACATGACACATTGAGAAAAAAATGATGGTCTGCCATATCAGATAGTTTGAGAAGCACTGAATTAGCGCACACAAGATCTTTATCATATTTGCATAGTTGTGGTGTAGTGCCAGGATATTCTTGAAGTTTATTTATTGAAAAATTTGGAATTAATTTGACTTAATCATATAAAATAAATAGATATTTATTTATTTGATTTAGATTGGAGTGAATCTTTTGATATTCAGGGTAGCAAAAGTTTGTTATAAGCCTGATCTTGGTAGTAGTTGAGAGAAAGTCCATTTCAGTTCAGTATTTGACAGTTTAGAAGTCAGAACTATTAGTAGTATTCATCTTAGAAATAGGTCAGCATCAATCTACTGTGTTTTTCTCGGCCCTAAGAAGGACAGAAAATATTATTAGCAGATGACCTTTTAACTACTTCATGTGTCACACATAGCTGGTTTCTCTGACAGTAGCATCTCTTGTCCCATGTTTTCTCTTGCCATCCCTTCTTCTCATCTGGCGCTTATATCCTTTTGACCTGGCTCCCAGACTACTGGTGCAAACCTTGATTTTGGCTAACATTAAAAGTCTCCTTGTGTTAAGTTTTTGATTGGCCAAAATTATTTTATTTTTCAGCATTCCTTTCTTTTTCATTTTTTTAAAATATAGCAGATGTTATGTGTGGACTGTGGAGCCTCCTTGATTTTTGATAGTTTTTAGTCACAAATCTGTAGACTTTGGTCTCACCAACTTCTGCCATTTTTCAGCTAGGTTCAGTCTTTTCTTCTTCCTCTTGATTGCCTTTTCATTAGTTGAGAGAAAAGTATAGAAAGAGATGTTTAGAGAGAGAAAGAAAGAGATAAGAGTTTTAAAGGAAAGTGCAAATACCATATTTTAATTTGAATTCTTATTTTTGTTTATTTTTATTATTTTTATATTTTATTTTTATCTACATAGTCCCCATATTGTAAATGAAATTGTTTAACACATCCATGTTACAATCTTCCATTTTTCTAAATTCAATCCATTTTGAAGTAACCTCTTTTGAATAATTCCATCTCAGTTTTATCAACTCTTTATCAGGCAACTCATTTTTTTTTCTTAAAGAATCTAGCTACAGTTTTAATTCCACTGCCTTTCCTGGAAACCTTGATATCTTGGACTTATTAAGTCCTAACCTTGCCTTTAGCCTCTGGGGATTCCTTTCAACTCTGTTTACCATTTCTACTTTAGGAAATGCAAAATAGCATGCAGCTACTGCAAAGAGTAAAACAAAAAAAATATTTTTTCCTTACCTCTGATTTGTGCAGATTTCTCTTTTCCACTGCACCAATACACTGGTTTCAATTTTGGAATCTGATATTACTTAGACTAAATTCTCCCCTTTTGGCTATTTTGATGGTATGATTGACTTTCTTCACATGTCATTACTTCTGTCTTCAGAGAGATAATTTTTCTTCCTGAGAATATTTGGTTTTCACAGGAGGTGCATCAAAATTCCTACCAATTATTCAAAGTTTGCTGGTTTTTCTCAGTGATTTCTTCAACTGTAGTTTCTCAGGATCTGATCCTGGTTATGCTTAGGATGGGCTCATTGTTCCAGTCATTAAAGGTAGCATTACATTTTGTTTATCTTTCAATGGTAACCTCAGAATCAATAACGTTTGGCCATGGTGCTAGATGTAACATTATCCTTGAATGAGGACATGGTGATTTGATGTGTGTACGTCTTTGATGCTTTGGAGTTTTCTTCTCCTAGAATTTTGTTTCTGGTATAGATGTAGCACTATGGCTTGGAGGGTTAGCCACTAGCCATTTGTTTCAGCCACTGGTTCAGCAACATACTGGACAGTAGACTCTTCTACCTATGTTGTGTTTACATAAGATCTGAAGAAGTCTCAAGCTCAGAGTTGAAGTATACCAGGTGCTGTAAGATTGGAAGTGTGGGTGGTGTAATAGATAATGGCTTGGAATTGTTAATCAGAGAGCTGAGTTCTAATTCCAGCCATGTTCATTATATTCACTTACACCCTGATTCCCTTGAGAAAGGTATGAATCAACCTCATCTCCTTCCAACTATGCAGAATGTGTATTAATAAAAATGATTATTATTTAAAAAATAAAAAGAATTCTTACAATCTAAAAATATTTTCTGGCTTTAAATAACAGGCAAAGTGTTGATAAGCTGCAGGAAACAAATCCATCGATCAGAGTTGAAACATCACAAGCAATATATCACATAAATGTAATGTTGATAGATTTACCAAGTTGATCAAAATTACAGAATACCTTAAAAAGATTTAAACAAAACATGTAACCAAATATGATAGGTTCCTGAAGAAGGCCAGATGGTGCACTGGTTGAAATATGATGAATGCAACAACCAACAAGGAAGCATTATTGTCTATTATTGTATGATTATAAAATGTTAAAAGAAATACTGTCATTTTTTTTTGTACTGGTTTTTTATTTTCTTAGCAGAATATTTAAAAGATTAATTTTTAAAATGGATTTATATTTGAGAAGAAAATTATTATAAACACATACACTTCTTCTAGGTGTATGTATTTATGATTATTTCTGTGTGCTTATATCAATGAATGCAGATTGTTTTATAGGTATGTATATATTTATCACATGCACATGTTTGTGTGTACTAAGGTATTTGAACCTGTGTAGTTGCAAACATCATTTGATTTCCTTCCTTTATGCATTCTTCTTTTAGACATATTGAATGTTTGATGCACGTTAAAGCAAGTATGTTTGTGACATTGGCAAAATAAATTTGAAAATGTTTGGGTTTTATTTTGATTTCATTTAACTATTCACTTTTTTCTTTTTCCAAGTTTATAGTGAGTTGTCTGCATTTATCATTTGATAATAGTGGGAGAAATACAACAGCCCATTGCAACAGCTGCCAAAGAAAAAAAATGTAAATCTTTTTGTTCTTGTTTTTTAAACACCATGGATGACATTATAGAATATTGTAGAAAGTTGTAACATTTTGATAAAGGATTAACATTTATCATGATCTGAAAAGAATGCTTCCTTAAAAAATGGGTTGCAAGCTGCAAAAGCTTTTGAGATTTAGTACACAGAGCATTAGTTTGATGCCAGATGTCGGTAATGCAAAGAAAGAAACATTTGTAGGACATCAAGTGCAGTTTGCTATGTGGATTGGAAGGCTCTTCACAGGTCAAAGATTGCTACAGTGGGATCTTCCTATTTCTTCTTTTCTCTAATTTAACCTCTTGTGCTACAACCAGGCTCATTCCTAAGAGGAGAGGGTACTAGGAGGTAACCCCCTGTCCACCATTATTTGGCCACCACCTGTCAAAATGATATTAACAAATTTTAGTGTACAGGCCATTCTTCCAAGTCAAATTTCTGGGGTGACTGTCCTGTGCTGCCTTCTTCTTTATGCACCATGTCTCCCCTCCCCCTACAGGGCATCAGGTTCACATTAAGAATCTGACTTCAAAATACTGTTTGCTTTCATTTCAACAAGGAATATTTTGTTTGACAAATCATTTATGATTTTTTTCAATGGAAAACTTAACATCTTTAAGATTAGATCAAGTGATTATTGTTTTTAAATTTGAATTCTAAATTCTAGGTTAACAATTTAATCTCAGAATAAAAAGCATTATATCATCCATGAGATATCATTTTTGTGTCTTACTGAAAACAATTTTTACTTTGTTGTGTCTCAGCTTGAAAGCTACATATATATTCTGATATGATTATGATAAATAAGCACTAATTTTTCTTACACTGGAATTGAATTTGAGGAACATATTTGAAATGAATTGTTTTTTAATAATAAAAATACTATTTACTATCTGGCATTATCTACTGTTTATATACCTATATACCACAACAGACTATAGTAGTGGGGGGGGGGAGAACTAGATAAAATTTAATTCACCACATTAGCAAATGGTTTAAGATAAACTTTTTACCCATCATGCTAATGAATTATTTCCAAGATTTTTTTTTTGTTTAACTAATTAGTTCAGGCTGTTAACTTTTCATACTACAAAAAATGAAAAGGCTTGGTAAGAAACCTCTGTCAATACTAAAAAGAACTATAACAGTTAATGGACTTGAGAATTCTAATTTCCTTAAAAATAACTTTAAGAATAAGGTTTTATAAATTTCAATGAATGCCACCATTAGCAATTATACTTGTCTGTAAAGTTTCAACTAAGTGTCTTTTGGTAGAGGACATAATTTGTACTATATCCTTATTGTATCTTAATATCTCCTGTTTACTTGACCCTTCACCAACTTAGAATTTTTTCTGTGCAACTTATTGTATTGAGATGAATCTGGTTAGATTAGAATAGGATTTTCATTAGATAAAAAGAATTATGATGTAATTTTAAAAAGACAAAACCAAATAACTCATTTGGATTTAATCTAGAAAATAAATTTGTTTTATATTATATAAGCTATTATAATGTTGAATAATGTTGATATTTAGTTAAATCTTAAATGGAAAATAATCTCTTAAATAGACATATTATGAAAATGTATTGTTTTTTGCCTGAAACTTGAGCCTATACCTGTTGAAATATAAATGTATTGCAAAGGACAGATGTCAATTCATCTCAACCAACTTCTTAAAGCCATGATGGCTAAAAGAAAAAAATGCATCTGGCAGATAAACTAATCCTCCCATAAGTTAATGTTCAAAAATAATGTTTTTCTTTTCTTTACTGTGATATACATATAGACTGCAAGCTTAAATATTCGATCCTCTTACAGTGTACCTAATTAAGGTCTTTGTATTTTGTCACAGGTTAGCATATCTAAATCCCTGGCAGACAACTTTCTTATTTTATTTGCTTCCATATTCAATGCAGATACAACAAAATATTTTAAAAGATATTCCAAGTCATATCTTTGCATGCCAATAATTTTTATATTGATAAAGAACTTCAGATTTTTGCACTGAAGATATTAGTAAACAGTTTGAAATAAAACATGTTATTAAAAATTATATATTTCCTAGTTGTGTCATTGTTAAAACACTAAATGCATTAATTGTAAATGTAACATCAATTATATGAAAACCTTAAACTTAATAAACATAGAGAAAGATTTTTATTGTAAAATGAGAAAAAATGGCTTGGATGGCTTGAAAAGACCAAAGTTTGGTTTTGGTTAACTGAAAAGAAAAAAATAAAATATTTATTTTTGCTTTTTGAAAAAAATGCTCTTATTCTTTCTGCTAATGTATAACAAAAGAAACTGAACCGTTTTTGTTGCAATATTTTTACCTGAACAAAATTGTCTCCTTCTTGTGTCAAAATTCAGTGAACTGTGAAAGAAAAACTTTGCATTATTAGTGTATCCAGAGCAGAAAAAATTTATTTTCTTTATATATATTTCTGTTATCACAATGAGAGATATTTAAAAACAAAGATGATGGAAAGGAAAAGAATATAGATGAATTTTTTTAGATTGTAAAAAAAAAAAAAATTGTAACTACCAGCATCTCTCATTCTTGCACATGTGTCATCATAACAATGTCTACAAACTCAGTCCGATGAAGTCCTAACAAATGAAACGCATAACAAATAAACTTTTTACATTTTGTCTTACAATTTCCTCTCTCTCTATCTCTCTATCTCTCTTATATATATATATATATATATATATATATATATTATTTTCAAAGATTTATTTTATTTCTTTCACATAATTTATTTTGAAGACAAAAATATTTTTTACCCATTTTCTTTTCTTTTTTTTTTAGCATATCTCTCTTTTGATTTTGTCGCCTTCTAATAATGAGTTTTTCTTATTTGTTAGGTTGGGTGGGAAACATATAATTGTTAGTGTATTTATGTTTAGTTGAACATTTATAATAAAATTCTGATCCATGTCACCTGATATAAAAGAAGGAAGAAAACTGATAGGCTATTAAAAATCTGTTAAGTTTTTGAAACTACGAGAACAGTTAGCAGTGATATTTTAAGAATTATTGGTAGAAGTAGAGAGATTGGGAATTGTGTCTTCAAAGACAAGAATTTTAACACTTTTAGACTTAGGATAATTTTTTTCTAATAGAAACTGAAGTACCCAACTTTTGTTTTTATATAACTTTATAAACATTTTTTAATATTTTATTTTACTTATGAAATAAAACTTATAAAAATTTTTCAATTTTTCTTCTAAATATATTTTCTTTTTCATATAGAAGAGGAGGAGGGAATGACACCTATGATATGCATCATGTTATGAAAAATTTATGCTAAATTAAAAAAATATTATTATTGGTACCTGTAAGATAATGGTAAATGATTTTGATGGATTACTGAGGGAAAGCAATTTTTTCTGTTTTTTTGTCATAAACTGTAGATGAATCATTGCTGTATAAATAATACAAGCTTCATACAGTCACACTACTGTCATCTTTTATCAGAAGTTCTACTTTATTTGTTATGAACAATGAATGTTGTTTGTACTTCACACTGTAAAAAGCACTTCCTGCATTCATTGGAGCCATGACTGGGGCAAAACATCAGAAGACTATAAAAAATATGCACAAAAGACAAGTAGAAATGCTTTAACAGAGTTTGAAAGTGCAAAAAAAAAAATATAGCTGATGCAAAATATAGTGCAACTAGGACTGGCTACTTGATGCATTGTCCTGGCATATGGACATAATAGTAGACACATGAATAAGCATAAATATTTCCCAAATTAATGCTTGGCTCTATTTGAATGTGTGAAGAGTATAAAATTCCTAATAAATTAATAACTATACATGCTCAAAAGTTGAAATTTTGTATATCAATAATTTGATACATGTTTTAAATGTGTAATTTCGCCATAAACTATAAACATAATCTTATTTTGAATTGTTATCCACTCAGTAGGGATATTATATCTTATTAATAATTTTAATAAAAGGAGGTTTTATTTTATCTGAAAAATCTTAATTTCAGTCAGTTATGTACCACACGATACATGCTTAGACGATCATGACTGACAAGGCAGATCTTTTCCTGCAGTAGGTTGCCATTTCTTTAATTTACAAAGATTTTAAAATTCTGGTTGATTCTATGTTTTTTGCCAAAAATGAAAGAATCAATGCATTCTTAACACAGCTATTTATCAGTTCATTTTATATGTGTATATTGCACACCTGAATGTTTCCTCAATAATATCTTTTCTGGGTTCATAGAAAGTTTCATGACATCAAACTTTCTCTTCAACAAGCTGAGCCAATAGCAATCATTTCTCAACTAGTATACTGGCATAGCTTTTGCATAAATTCTAACAATATTTGGGCCTATACAAATTACATCCTTTTATTCAATTCTACACAGGAATACTGACCAATCTGGATTTGTTTAATATTTTTTTGCTATTAGTGTTTTGGCCAATCAGAGGGGCGGATTTCATTTTGCCCTTAACTGTTATTCAATGTACTCATTCAGAATGGCAGTTATCATTTTTAGTCAGTCAGATACATAGTTTTCATTTGGTTCCAGACTTATGTCTATTAAAACTATTAATTTTATTGCTTTCATTTTGGATTTACTCCTTGTTCTTTGTTCCAAGTTAATGTCTAAGTTTTAATTTTTCTTTTCAAGGTGAGTTTGAGTCTATTTACTTGTCAAAAATAATATTGCCATACTATATTTCAGGTAAGTATTTGGATCAACATACTTATACAACACTAATATTACTAATAAAAAAAATAGGATGTGATATTCCAACTTTCACTCTTCTCTGAGAGCCCTTTCAAGCAACCTTGTCTGGAGAAGAGAAATACAAGGCCATCACCAGTCAGTCAATGAGATCAACAAAAATATGCCCTAAATTTAATTCATTGACATATATATTTTACAATTATAATATTCTGATATACGCTCATTCTGTTGTTTTAACTTTTACTTTCGTATAGAAGTAGTAATGTTGTGATTTGTTTGGACACTGGTAAATCATCTCCCTGATGGCATCTCCCTGATGGTATCTTCCTGATGGCATTTAAGAGAAGAACTGAACATTAGTTTGGGTTTGGCTTCAAACTATTTTTTGCAGCTTTTCCTAATGCTGATTTAATTGTTAAAATAACTGTCTTTAGTATTTTGTCCCTTGGTTTCTTTTATATAAAAAAAAAACTGCTATTAATTTGTGAGACAAGATCAACTTTAGCACAAGGCTGCTTTATTTGAGTGTGCAGCAAAGATCAGACTTATTTTCAATATAACCATCTGTGCTCATTGGCAAGCCAACCCTACTCTTGTGTTATATTTTACACATAGAGAGGCTTATAACCATATGTTGAAACATCAGTTGTCATATTACCACTGATGTTAAGCAACATCGAGCTTGGTTAGTACCTAGATGGGTGACCACTTGGGAATACCAGGAGCTGAAAGCTTGGATGTGTGGTTAGTGTAATGGATAACAGCTTGGAATTGTAACTCAGAGAGACAAATTCCAATTCTAGTCAGTTTCATTATATTCACTACTACCCTAAGGAAAGGTATGAATCCACCAATTCTCTCCCTGGCTATGGGCTAATTAGTAGGACTTGTATCAGTAAATCATTATTAGCTCCAAAACAATTTTTACAATCTAGAAATATTTTCTGGTTTTATATAACCTGAAAAAGATTGGTAAGCCATAAAAAACAAATCACTCAATCATTTTATACAGAGAGATACCATGACCTAAATTTTAAGTATTTCAAATACTTCTTGCAAATTGCCTATATATCATATATAATCTGTATGGAAGCAAAGTGAATTAAAATCTACAAAGTTTAAAGCAATAATTGTGGGCTCCATTTAAACTTGTTTGGCAGTCCTGTCCTCTGGTACTTTTATTCAAGAGTAAATGAGGTACACTCCACTATCAAAATTACCATTGCACCTGTAATCACATGAGACAATCCATAAATCAAGAAGTAAATATTTTTGTTATATTATGAAAAGTAGTAGTTAAATGGTTAAAAATTTGGATTATATGCTGAAGAGGTTTGATACCTGGTCAGTTAAATAATCATGAAGTCCAAAAGTTATAAATATTTACAAGAATAAACAGTTATATCTGTCTATATCTGAGATGAGGTATTATGATTATTTACATTATTATTTCCTCAAGGAAACATGGCCCAGTCGATAAAGATGTTGGTTAGATCCAGTGACTAGATTCAAAGAGTTGTGAGTTCAATACCAAGCTACAGCAGTGGTGAACCAGAAAACTTGGAGAGTTGAGTTAAAGGGAAATAACTGAGAATGAACAATTATGATGACGGAAGAGGCAATGCATGTGAAACTAGAACAATCTACCTTGGTTTGGTTTGAAATTCAAATCACCTGAAGAAGACCGGAGTGTACAATGGCCAAAATGTTGTGAATATGGCAATGAAGATGAGGATAACAGTCTGAATAATGTAAATAAGAAACAGTTATTTTCAAGAAGAGTAAGACTTGACAACTACTTTTCAGTTACAATAATATGAAGATTTAGTAGAAACAAAATCAATTTAAACTTCAAAGTTGTCATTTTTGAAAATATAAATCATCATTTGCCAAATGCAATAATAAAAGAATCTTTGTTCTTATCAAGCATTTCTAATGGATGAAATATAACAAAGAAAATGATAAAGTCTTAAATGAGTAACGATTTGCAAATGCCAGTCATTTTATGACAAAGTTGATATGTTTTAATTTATATTTGTATATCCTCTTTAAATGCTAAGTGCAATGTGACTGAGGATTTCATCTAACCTTTGTTGGAATTGTTATTTTATAAAAGTTCTTTTTTTTTCTGATCACTGGTTAATTTAAAACTCTTCTAAATATAGGAATAAATTCATTGTGTGGATTTATTTTCTACTTCACTAATCGAGATGTCAAGTGAAGACAACATGGTTTGTATTGTCTTAATGCAAAACAAATAAATTGCAGGGATTATCAGAATTTCACTCATTTTAAATATTAATTTCCACTCTTCATAAAATTTACCAATGACTTTCCAAGCAATAAGCAAAAAATAAATCTTATTTGGATAAATAGAAAAAATTGAGCATTCTCTTTTAATGCATGAAAATTATCTTTAAAAAAAACAGTAAAGAGAAAGAGGAGATGTATTCTTCATTGCACTTTTAACAAACTAAAGTAATTAGTTTTTAGGGGTTTTCTCACCTTCCTTGACCATGGAAAACTGACTATTTAATTTCAAACAACCCACATGGACATCACTACTGCTAAGTGTATAAATGTTTTCTACCTATTTTTAAGCTATCTGTATATATGTAAATATAGTTTTCTTTTTCTTTTCTTTTGTGAGCTATTTTGTTCTTGATACAAAATATATGTATAAGATTTCTCCATCTGCAGAATTTGTTATTTTTGAAAATGTTGAATTTATTTATTCTTAAAATTTTCATCCTTATCAGCAACAATTCGTAACTTCTCTTACCACAAACAGGTGACTAACGGCAATCTCATCCATTAAAATCTTGTTGCATCTTGACACTACAAGCTCTTCCTTTCAAATTCCACTTGACCATTTACACTTTATTAAATAATATTATTTATATTTTAAAATTAGATTTTTCTTCTTTTTGAGTCTGTTTTAATGTCATGTTCATTCAGTGTGTATGCAAATATGACTTTGTACATATTCTTCTTTATAACCTGTGAATTGTCAAGCATTGATGGGAAAGATAATGAAGTGGTTTTCTGTTGTCTTTGCCATATTTTATATTTAATTGTTTATATTCAACAGATATTTCAGTTATTTATTCATCTAAAAGCATTTGGCATTTCACTTTTAATGCAATGGAATCCAGTAAACAGGTTTTTTCTTCTTTATTTCCTCTTCTTTTCCTTAAATGATAAATAGAAATCAAATCTGAGAACAGAAGTCTTAGAAATTTTTTTTTAAACAGGACAATAATTCATTACTTAGTGATATCAATGTACTATTTTCAGTACCATAAATAAAGGATTACTTTTTATAATTGGATAATTAGTTTTCTAATTGAAGGAATGTTTACAGTTTATTAGTTTCTAAGAGATTAATACATTTTATTCAAAATCTGATATTATTTCTTATTAATATCAACATATTATAGTAGGCACATGTATCTTATTAGCCATCTCTGTTTATAAAAGGTTTAAAAAATAGAGCTGTCTACTCAGACATGTGTATCCACTAAAATGCTTGAAGTAATAAGTTTATTAATACATGAATTTATAATGTTAATGTTAGGATAGGCTTAGGCCTGCTACTGGTAACATGTAACCCAGTACAACCTGCCACATGAACAGGTGGTTGGCATCTAAACCAGCTTTTCTGCTGGTGGCATGTCAACCCACAGGACCACAGGAAGAGAAACAAGACCTGTCAAAGGGCAGATGAGCTTCTTAGAGGAGTCAACAGCCAACATATATATATATATATATATATATATATATATATATATATATTTATTAACTCATCAGGCATGAGATATAGCTTATTAAACAATAAGCTATATCTCCTGCCTGATGAGTTGGGTAACCAACAAAACTTGAGTTGCACATCAAATGTAGGTATATGTATATTTATTAATATATATTTCTTAGCTCTGTCTAATCACATTGAACACTTTTATGTCTACACTACTGGGCTAAATTTGATAATTATTTATTTGCTTACCAGTGTATGCACACCAGCACACACACACACACATATATATATATATATATATATGTATATAAATAAAAAGAAAGAACAGTAAGATATAAAATCCGGTGTTCTTATAGATATTTTATTTTTACAAAATAGTGCTCAATGTAAATTTACAGAGCATTAATATTATAAATTAATTGATTTAAAATATGGTTATTTTCGCTACACAGTTCCAACCATGTTTCAAAAATAGAAGCTAAAGACCCTAATTTTATTTTTTGCAAATAAATTAAAAAGCATTAGTTCCATTTCATCTTCAAGCGAATTTTGGAGTAACTTTTAAAATTTACCGGCTTTTAAATACACAGCTAAAATCACGTTTCCATGGTTACAGAATATTCTACTCAAATTGAACATGGGGTGTCTAGATTTTCCTTATGACAGTATCATTGTATCAGTTATTAGCTACATTTTGGTAAGGGGTGAGGATGTATTTTACACTGAAACCTGACGTCGGTTGAATGGATGTCGTCTGAATTTAAAAAAAAATTTTTGAAACATGGTTGGAACTGTGTAGCGAAAATAACCATATTTTAAATCAATTAATTTATAATATATATATATATATATATATATATATATATATATATATATATATATTTTAAAGATATTTTGTAGGTACAAAATTTAATGATTGAAATAAAAGTATAAAACTTAATATTATGAGACATATTAAAAAAAAAAAATGGGTGAAGTAACCGGTTTTGCTCCGCTCTTCAGGCTTCAACGGGAGATTTAAAATTCACACAGAAAAAATATATATATATAATTATGTGTGTAAAATGTTCAGATATAACTAAAACTATATCTGTAAAAGGATAAAAGACAAAAGAAAAACTTAGCCAATGCATTTCATGCTCTAATAGAGCAAAGCAAATGTAAGGATTTTATTTTTCAACAAGTATTTACAAACAAAAGTAAAAATGTTGTTAGTTTTCAAATTTTTAAAATTTAAGAAACACTGATAAATATTCATCAGGTTAACTGAAAAGTCTAGGTAGATTATGGATGAGGCCAAATGATGTAATTTAATGTCTAATAAACAAAAGTGAATAAATGATATCGTTGTTGAATTTTATCAAATGTATTGAATCTTATTAAAATATAAATCTGGAGCACAGGTTTTTTCAAATATCTTCATTTCTGAAAGATTGCTTCATTTCCAAGCCAACATACATAACTATAAAAATGTTAAAAAATGAAAGTTAAATTGAACCAATTGAAAATAATCATTGTTGAGTGTATTGTGCACCAGATAAAAGAAATTATATTATAAAGAGAAAGATATGCAATAAAAAGAAAATCAGTATATATTTTATTTAATTGTATACATGTTCAAATTAGAAGGCTAGAAAAAGGATATTCAATAAAACCAACCTCAGCCTAGAGGATGGCTTCAACATGCACAGATCCGGTGGTTCTTATACAGATTGGTGATCTTGTCCATGAGGACGGCAGTCAATGAGTTTTTGGTGCAGTGGGCCGCTGCTTAGTTTACCTCTCAACCACACCCCAGACATAGTAGTATAAGGGATTCAAATCAGGCCACATGTTTGTGGTGATGATCATAAAAATTCTTGGTCAGTTACTCTTGAGTGACATAAGACATCTTAAAGAGAGAAGGGGTCACTCACTTGATCTAGAGATTGGTCATTGTGTCTAGTACCTCAAAATAGTTACTAACATTGACAC